GAGGTTAATAGTTTTAGATATTTATTCATAACATAAACAGCGCTAGCATTTCTGTCGATTTTATTTCAGCTTAACCGGCCGCTATCCGGAAGAAAACATGCACCGTACTGACTGCTAGGGCAGTTATTTTCTGCTTTGAATACTTCCCACTGGCAATAATGATTCCGTAACGTACCCCTTGCGCTATCTTTTGACCATTTGGCAACTATTCGCTTCGTAGCTGACACGGTACAACACTTTTCTTTTTCTTACTTCACACGGCCAGTCATCTTGTTTACAAAGAAATGGTGTGCTATGCGCATGCGCTAGTAGAGGGAAATCCCTGAACAAAACGTTGGTCAGACAGGTAGAAATACCGATGATTATCTTAGATTTAATCATTTTTATGAATCTATTTCAGCCAAATCCGATCGGAATTTTCCATAAGGAGTCTCACTTGATATGTTTATGTAGTATTTGGAAAAAAGACACAAAAAAAAGTTACTTCAGCGTGATGCCCCTTTAAATTAATATAATCATGTACATGCCTTTGGTCATACTAGATGTCAATCGTTTATCCAATGTTCAATTTGTTTAAAATAGTTTTATTGCAAACAACAAACAAATGGATTGGACAAAAGTTGTAACAACTTACTTACACTTTCCGCCTTCCCGCAACAAATAAATATATACAAAATTAGTGTGTCACGCAATAGCCTAAACGTTTTATTATGTTAGTACATTCCATTTCTCAACGTCTTAATGGGAAATGCGTATCTAGACCAGAGACGTATACAATTAATACGTCTTTATATAAATTTAGTAAATACGCGGACTTGCATCTGATTAATTTCCATGGTAATATATTATAAAGCAATTTTAATCGATACGGACAATGCATACAAGTGTTTAGAATTTTTTTCTGAAAAGTTGCTTATATGAGAGACGTATAATTTAAATGCATTTTATATTCTACATCTACAACTACATAGTAAATGACCACCATCATCTATTTGAAGATCATGTCATGTGATAGTGCATGGGTGTTAGGCCAAGACAGAGAAAGTATGGGAGTTAGAAGTGTTAATTTTGGGTTATGCCCAAAATTTTAAACTCAGAAAGAGACATATTTCTGCACTTATTTAAAAATAATAATTTACAATTTTCATGCCGGTTTTCATGTATATTACTTTCTGCCAGCAAAATATTTAGAACTTCATTTTTGCTAAGATTGGGACAATTATATTTCCATTGCCGAGCGGAGCGAGGCGAAAATTTGTTTTATGAAGAGGTAATACTAAACTATTTCAAGCACTGCCGACCGTAGAAAGCAAGAATTTATCGGACATTATTTCCCTGACAAACAGGTCGAGTGAGGCGTAAAATAGTTTTCTGAGTTTGCGGTATCATTCCAGGTTATATTTTATAAGGTAGAGTATTTATATTTTATGATGGCCGAGCGGAGCGAGTGTTAACAAATTTTGTAAGAATGGTAAAAATGTAGATGTTTGAACGTACATGTAGTTTAGGCGAGAATTTTGGCAATTTAATATTAACTTATTTGTAATAAATATGAATTGTGATTTAACTGTTTGTCTTTTATTGTGAAATAGCACGGACTTAATATCTAATCTAATTCCGTGGAAATAGTATGCATACATATGTGCAATGGCAATACCTAATGAAAAGAATGTACAGGCCAGGCTTTTATGCTAACATTGGTTATTAATCACCTGATGAAGTGATGAAATAGACTCTACCTTTGACATAACACTTTACCTATATACCTAATTCCAACAGATGGTATAGTCCTCTCCCAACTGTCAGGGTGATCACCACACCGTGATATTAGATTAGGTAGAGTCAGTCCGGTGAGCCATGATGACCACTGACCTGACTGGAGACCCTACTAATATCACGGAATTAGATAATCTATTATTTTATTTTTTCACTCACTCACGCCACACGTATACGTGCGTAACAAGAGGTCACATAATACATAGTATACATTGATGGACATAGTACTCACATAATATGACACATGATACAATTCATACAATAACAACCCATTTCAATAATTCTTTTAGCTAAATTCTTTTAGATATTAAGTAGCTTCATTACTCTTTGTATAAATATACTTACTTTTGTTAAGAGTACCGTGTTACAAATTGAGAACATTCCTTTCATTTTGATATAAGTTGGGTTGACATAATAATAATTTGGTATATAAAGTTAATTGTCTAAGAGCTACAACAGATACATTAGTACACGTACATTGGTATAAGTAGTGGTATATCTAAGTCCGTGCTAATATATATATATATATAGACAATGGAGGATTAATCATATAGATATTCAAACTGCTGGCAAGGGGAAGCCATAGACAATCATAGTTCAAGAGAGGTTGATATTGAAAGGAAATTCCATATGAAACAGGGGGAAATCTTCAAAAACCTTGGTCCAGATTATTTTTGGACACAGATAGCCACTAGCGTTTACCTGTACATTACACCTGTGTAGACAGATAAAGGGTGTTACACCCCTGACTTAGGCAATCTAATTCCGTGCTACAATATATATAAAATATACAGACACACGGACCGTGTAATCAAATGATGAATTCGCGTACGTAACGCTCAATCTTCATTGACTATCTCTGTAGCTAGAAATCTGTCTTATCGTGGTCTTATGCATATATACTATACTATATATAGACTCGTTGTTGAGAAAAAAAAATTTGTAATATTTCTTCGTCCGTAAGGATCATTTTTCTGCGTTTATAATATTCATATATATATATAAACGTAGTACACGTCTCTCCTCTCTTGTATCAGTTTTCACTACGCGTGACATATCACTGGGCGTATCGCTTTCGAGCAGATGAATACATGCCATTCGTCACACCTTGGGTTTGACTGTACATAACACGGTAAAATCCGAGTTTATTTACAAACCACGGTCATGGCGCCGAGAAGGGTTGATCGAAGTGAGATCAGTATTTGTGGGAAATACTTCGTGTTTTTTGTCAACTTTGCCATTTTAGTAAGTATATGGAAGTCCATTATAGGAGATGTATGTACTTAGAACAATAGATCTAGAGAGAATCGTTATATTGACGTAAATACAAGCTACCGACTGTAAGTACCCGGAAGTTTCTTCAATGAGTAATACTTGTATACGTCGTACAGTGTACTGTATAACAATGTTTTACGTAAACAATGTCGGTTAATCACATAATTTCTTAATATGGACAAGTCACATTACAGTGTTAACTATTTAGACTTTAGTTAATAGATTTAATTTGTCGATGACCACTATCGACCACCAATAAAGTAAAGGATAGTCCACTAGCGTTTACGTATATACCTGTACATTACACCTGTGTACACCAGCTGTAAATAATTGATGGTCACGTTGAGCCGACGTGTAGGCAATATATTTATATCGATCGAGACGGATATTGACTTGGGCGTGGTTGACCGTTGGACAGTCTTATACTTTCTTGTTATTTATTAATAATATTGACTGACCATGCAGGATCAGATCCGGGTTGGGGGTGGTGGTGGGGGGTCTACTGTACACATATATACATATACCTGTTGTTGTGTGGAAAGTTCAGTATATTATATGTATAGTAGATCCCCTCCCCATTAATTCAAGGCAGGTAGCATAGGGTTTCCCACAGAATAAAAAGGGCATGGAGAGGCCGGGCAATGAATAGTGGCGAATGATGCTTAGAGAGGCTTGTTGTCATGTAGCGAGTCTCAACTCTTAAGGTTATATATATACCATGATTATGTGTTTTATAAATGCCTCATGTGTACTGCTTTTAAGTTTTAAAACGGTGTAGTTCTGTACTTAACATTTTGTTCCTGCTGTAGATCCTGAATACATTTCCAGTTCAATTAAATACAATAAGTTGGCTAGAAATTCTACAAAGTTATATATATAACAGAATTAACAGCACAGAGGTAATTTATGTTTGAACGAATTACACAACAGGAAACAAATATCTGACATTAAATCTCTCTTCTGATTTAATTACTCTTATTCTTTCACCATATAACAAATTTCAAATAAACCTAAATTATTCACTATTCACTGTCATTCAGTCATTAGCACTTCCCACTTCGCCAATAAAATCAATTTAACACTGAAAAATATGTTAAAATCTGTTGACATGTACTGTAGTGTACCATCAGAGCTAGCTTTACAGACAATAAGGGTAGCCCATGGCCAATAGTCTGAAACTAGTGAAATCTCCAGCTGAACTAGTGTAAGTGGTACTAAAAATCGCTGGCCTGATTGACTAGGCAAAATATTGCTTATCTTGGATAGTTGTTGAATATTATTCATATTATATACAATATATCCATATTGGGTTAGTATCTAAGATTGTCTTCAGTAATACCAAATTTATTTCGCTCGTGGGGGTGGTTATTTTTATATCTTTCACAAGTACGCATATTTATTTTATGTTGTAAAATAAAACCTTTGAAAATGATATTCGAAATCAGCATATAACGTTTGTCTAGGTAAGATTATAAAGTGAAGAGTTGCTGTTGGCATGTTAACAACGCCAGTGTAATTATATATGTAACTTGCTAGTAAAAATGAAAACAACTATGTTAAAAAGTCCTGAGATCCTGTATATTATTATATCCATTAAGGTAAAACACATGTCAACCTATATAGCTACCAGATCCTCCTTGTCCTCTTGCTAAGAAACCATTTTGACAACTTTCTCCGTGGCCAAACCAAATCTTCACATTATTAATTAATCCCAACAACGAAGAGGAGGTTGTTGGTGGTGGATAGGGTCAATAATCCATATCCAGTGCATTGTCACTATCAGATGGACCTTTTGACCATTCCAACAGCTTGAACAATTGTTTCAAGCTAAGGTCAGCCCTTTCCACCACTGTTCAGTCAGTGTCCATACCAAAATGCTCACACATCATACTGATGGCTGTACATGTACCAACATGGAAATCCAGACAGTCCTCCCTGGCCAGTGAAAGGTTGAGGACAGCTAGGGCCTGTGAAAAGTTGAGGACAGCTAGGGCCTGTGAAAGACTAAGGACAGTTAGGCCTGTGAAACATTGAGGACCACTATAGGGCTGACACTAGGTTTGGATTCCTCATCCTGTCCTCATGGTTCTCCACTTACATGTTGATGAAGCTGTGTCTGATGTCATTAACATCAACAGTCGCTGTCATGTCCAACGCCTCTGTGAAGCTGTGACAGGTTGGGTCCTGGTCTCTGTGTCAGGCCCGGAGGTTTGTGACAGTGGATAGTAGCTTAGTTTGGATCTATCAAGGAGAGGTCCACACTTACCTTCTCGAACATCCTGGTAAAAGAGGCCACGATAACACAATTAAACCGTCTTGTACATCATTTTTATCTTCCTAAGTGATTCTGCTGGTATCCCAGATCCGGATACCTGAGGAAGTGTGACCTGGTGGACCCCCCCGTTCCCTTCTTAAAGCCATAGAACATTTGATTTTTCTGGTCTTCAATATCAATATTTTTACTGAAATAATGACAATACTATAAGCTATATTTTAGCAACATCAGAAAGAAAATCGCCTTGCATTCATGCATTATATGACACCTGTACATCATGGTTCAGGTTTCAGAGAATATATTGCTAATTACAAATATATGCTTATAGAGACCATATATCAGTAGACAATTTGGCTCTTTCCCCCCATACTTTTAAACATTCTTGTTCCATCCATCTTGACTCTAACTCCCATGTACATTGGCAGCTAGTAATTAAATGTTTTAGAATTAATTCCTGTCATCTCACCTTTTTTGATAAAACCTAGAGCAGTGATCATGATATGGGGGAAATATTGTCAGTATTTTATCTGTACATGTTTTGTCTGATTTACAAATGCATTATCTTGAGGCATAGCATATCTTATTCAGTCTTGAACCAAATTTATGTAAATCTATGTAAATTTCATTCAAATTGGTGTTATGTTTTAACAGGTGGTGTCGCCGATACTGCTCGGTTTTGGTATCTACATCCTGGTCCTGAAGGAAAAGAGTGTTTCTACATGGATTGATTTTTTCCTCGATCCCTCTGTATGGCTTGTGATAACCGGAGCAATAGGAAGTGTCATAGCTTTTCTGGGATGTTTCGGAGCTCTTCGGGAAATCACCCCATTGCTAAGAATCGTGAGTTTTGTAGGAAAGTTTTGTTTTGAAAGTTTTGTAAAATTAAGTCATTATGACCACGTTTATGTTTTGGTACATGTACAGGTAAGGCCAATATTATAATTTTTACCTAGTTTCTTTGGCATTCAAACAAAGACATAACATAAGCTTAATTCCTTAATTCTAAAATAAATTAAGGAAAATGATATAGTGTGTAAGACAGCATACCGGGTATATCCTTAACGCTAACACAGGTCAGTAAGACAGCATACCGGGTATATCCTTAACGGTAGCACAGGTCACAGGTATAGTGTGTAAGACAGCATACCGGGTATATCCTTAACGCAAACACAGGTCACAGGTATAATGTGTAAGACAGCATACCGGGTATATCCTTAATGCTAACACAGGTCAGTAAGACAGCATACCGTGTTTATCCTTAACGCTAACACAGGTCACAGGTATAATGTGTAAGGTAGCATATCGGGTATATCCTAAACGCTAACACAGGTCAGTAAGACAGCATACCGAGTATATCCTTAACGCTAACACAGGTCAGTAAGGCAGCATACCGGGTATATCCTTAACGCTAACACAGGTCGTAGGTATAATGTGTAAGACAGCATACCGGGTATATCCTTAACGCTAACACAGTTCACAGGTATAATATGTAAGACAGCATACCGGGTATATCCTAAACTCTAACACAGGTCAGTAAGACAGCATACCGAGTATATCCTCAACGCTAACACAGGTCAGTAAGACAGCATACCGTGTATATCCTTAACGCTAACACAGGTCAGTAAGATATCATACCGGGTATATCCTTAACGCTAACACAGGTCACAGGTATAATATGTAAGACAGCATACCGGGTATATCCTAAACGCTAACACAGGTCAGTAAGACAGCATACCGAGTACTAGTATATCCTTAACGCTAACACAGGTCAGTAAGACAGCATACCGGGTATATCCTTAACGCTAACAAAGGTCACAGGTATAATGTGTAAGACAGCAGACCGGGTATATCCTTAACGCTAACAAAGGTCACAGGTATAATGTGTAAGACAGCATCCCGGGTATATGCTTAACGCTAACACAGGTCGTAGTTATAATGTGTAAGACAGCATACCGGGTATATCCTTAACGCTAACACAGGTCGTAGGTATAATGTGTAAGACAGCATACCGGGTATATCCTTAACGCTAACACAGGTCACAGGTATAATGTGTAAGGTAGCATACACCCTTAACGCTAACACAGGTCACAGGTATAATATGTAAGACAGCATACCGGGTATATCCTAAACGCTAACACAGGTCAGTAAGACAGCATACCGTGTTTATCCTTAACGCTAACACAGGTCACAGGTATAATGTGCAAGACAGAACATCGGGTATATCCTTAACACTAACACAGGTCACAGGTATAATGTGTAAGGTAGCATACACCCTTAACGCTAACACAGGTCACAGGTATAATGTGTAAGACAGCATACCAGGTATATCCTTAACGCTAACACAAGTCACAGGTATAATGTGTAAGACAGCATACCGGGTATATCCTTAACGCTAACACAGGTCACAGGTATAATGTGTAAGACAGCATACCAGGTATATCTTTAACACTAACACAGGTCCCAGGTATAATGTGTAAGACAGCATACCGGGTATATCCTTAACGCTAACACAGGTCAGTAAGACATCATACCAGGTATATCCTTAATGCTAACATAGGTCCCAGGTATAATGTGTAAGACAGCATACCGGGTATATCCTTAACGCTAACACAGGTCAGTAAGACAGCATACCGGGTATATCCTTAACACTTACACAGGTCACAGGTATAATGTGTAAGGTAGCATACACCCTTAACACTAACACAGGTCACAGGTGTAAGGTGACATAACTCCATCACTATTGACAGTTCAAAATACATAGGGATTGAATCTGGGTTTTCCCGATTTTCCAGTGTACCCAAATGATGAAATAAATGGGAGAAAATTTACCTGCACATACATTGTACACCACATGACCGTAATAGCAAAGCGTAGGCGTATACTACTGTCTACGAACTGAGTTTGTCTTGTCATGTTTGTGGAATTATTTCTTCTTTCTTATGTTGGAAACATCCAGATTATTTCCCTATATTGTCACTGTTTTGATCGATGGGCGCAGACATGTATGAGACATTGAAATACTTCAATTTGTCAGTTTGAGTTTTGGCAGATTGATATTAATTTGTGGATAGGCAGACCGTAGAAGGTGTTACTGTTGTAAAAATGAAGTGGTCTAGTCTTATTGACATGACAAGACTGATCATGATATGATTTTGATTTCAGGTGACATTGAAAACTATTTTTTACCCCAAAATAACTTTTAACCTCACCTGATCCATAAACCCTTATACAGTGACAAATCTGCAACCTGATTTATATTGTCTGTCCCCTTAATTTGGGACTTTCAGACACTAAATTACTTTGAAATGGTTGAGATTCCTAACCGATGACTTATTCGTACATTTCTGTACATACAGATGTATATACAAATGTTGGACATGATGAAGAAATATACAAATATGCTATGAGATTAAGCCCTGGGGTCTGGTTCCATATGCATGTGCCCCACTCCCTTGGGTCTTAACTTAGAAACAACAGAGTTCACCACCCTATAACCATATGCTTGCTTGCACGAAGAGACAAATCAGTACAATCAGCTACCATGATAAGCCTATAGCTATAGGTCCAGTCCCACCCTTAGACACTTTATTGCGATAGTTTAGCTTAGATACCCCGCTTAACGATACAAGCCTTTCAGGCGTCTTATTTATCCATTAATTTCTCCTGATCACAGGGTCAGTAAAATGAAAACTATCGTGAAATATTGTACATACATGTATATGCTGATCATGCCCATCAGTGATATTACAGATGACAGAAGTGTGTATTTATGTTTCTTTTTTTTCCAGTATTATTGGTCAGTGAATTTCCTTATTCTCATCGAGCTCTTCCTCATCTGCTTCATCTTTATATTCACCTTCTCACCAGACATTCTGAAGAATCTCAACATTTATCCACAAGATTTGTTGAAAGATGCTGTTGTAAAATACCGTGATGATCCAGACATGCAAGATTTTATTGACAACATCCAAACAGACGTAAGGGAAAAAATAACTTCTTATTTTGTTTTGAATTATGATGCATATGTACATGTAGTTAATGTCTTATACAATGTCAAGCAATGTGTAGTTCATGTCTTATACAATGTCAAACAATGTAATTCATGTCTTATACAATGTAAAACAATGTGTAGTTTATGTCTTATACAATGTCAAACAATGTAATTCATGTCTTATACAATGTAAAACAATATGTAGTTCATGTCTTATACAATGTCAAACAATGTAATTCATGTCTTATACAATGTCAATCAATGTGTAGTTCATGTCTTATACAATGTCAAACAATGTAATTTATGTCTTATACAATGTAAAACAATGTGTAGTTCATGTCTTATACCATGTCAAACAATGTAATTCATGTCTTATACAATGTAAAACAATGTGTAGTTTATGTCTTATACAATGTCAAACAATGTAATTCATGTCTTATACAATGTCAATCAATGTGTAGTTCATGTCTTATACAATGTCAAACAGTGTGTAGTTAATGTCTTATACAATGTTAAACAATGTGTAGTTCATGTCTTATACAATGTCAAACAGTGTGTAGTTAATGTCTTATACAATGTTAAACAATATGTAGTTCAGGTCGTATATATTTGTACAATGTCAAACAATATGTTGTTCATGTCTTATACAATGTCAAACAATGTGTAGTTAATGTCTTATACAATGTTAAACAATGTGTAGTTCAGGACGTATATATTTGTACAATGTCAAACAATGTGTAGATCATGTCTTATACAATTTCAAACAATATGTAGTTCATGTCTTATACAATGTTAAACAATATGTAGTTCATGTCTTATACAATGTTAAACAATATGTAGTCCAGGTCGTATATATTTGTAAAATGTCAAACAATGTTTAGTTCATGTCTTATACAATGTTAAACAATGTGCAGTTCTGGTCGTATATATTTGTACAATGTCAAACAATGTGTTGTTCATGTCTTATACAATGTTAAACAATTTGTAGTTCTGGTCGTATATATTTGTACAATGTCAAACAATGTGTAGTACATGTCTTATACAATGTTAAACAATGTGTAGTTAATGTCTTATACAATGTTAAACAATGGGTAGTTCAGGTCGTATATATTTGTACAATGTCAAACAATTTGTAGTTCATGTCTTATACAATGTTAAACAATGTTTAGTTCTGGTCGTATATATTTGTACAATGTCAAACAATGTGTAGATCATGTCTTATACAATTTCAAACAATATGTAGTTCATGTCTTATACAATGTTAAACAATATGTAGTCCAGGTCGTATATATTTGTAAAATGTCAAACAATGTTTAGTTCATGTCTTATACAATGTCAAACAATGTGTAGTTCATGTCTTAAACAATGTTAAACATAATGTAGTTCATACATTTTTTGTGTACAATGTCAAACAATAAAAAGCAAACTGGAAAAAAATACTACGGATTAATTTAAGCTACTAAATCTATTTTACAGATCATCATAGTGTCGCCTACATTAAGTTTATATTTAGCAGAATCTGGTACATCTGTTTTTATGTGATAAAATGAAATTGATTTAAATAAGACTTTATTTGAAATTTGAAGAATTAGATCAATATGCAATTAAATGTTCGGTTATCAAATTGTTGTTGAATAACACCATGTTGTTGTTTTTACCATTGTAAATTTATGCTGTTCTAAACAGTTGACATATATATTAAAAACCAGTCACTAAAAAATTCTGTTCTGTCTCACATAAACACTTAAAAATCAGGGTCATATTTGCTCTTGTTTTGATGGTTTTCAGCTGGGTTGCTGTGGTTACAGTGACAGTGCGGATGGTTACAAAGACTGGAATGCAAATCCTTACTTTAACTGTTCCTCAGAAAACAACAGCTTTGAAAAATGTGCAGTTCCACACTCCTGTTGCATAATAGAAGATGTGAGTATCGGTATAAAGTGTGCTGTGAGAAATCTGTTTTACTTAAACAATAAGGATAATATATAGGTATACTTGTGTTAAAGGTAGATTATATAGCTATGATATAAATTATATTTATTTTACAACAATTATGAAACATGTTCTTCCAACATATATTTATAATTTATCCCTCTATTTGGCTTGGATGGAAGCTCACAGAGGGTTTGGTTTGGTTTAGTATTGTTTAACGTCCTATCAACAGCTATGGTCATTTAAGGACGACCTCCCCTTTGTGCAAGATGCATGCGTGTAGTGTATGCGTGTGCGTTTTGGGAGGCTGCGGTATGTTCGTTGATGCCGACTTTATAGTGCTACCTCACTGAAACATACGTACTGCCAAAGACACCCAGCAGGACACCCCAACCGGTCACATTATACTGACAACGGTAGAACCAGTCGTCACACTCCTAAAATGCTGAGCGTTAAGCAGGAGTAGAAACTACCATTTTTACAGACTCTGGTATGTCTCGACCAGGGGACAGAACCCAAAGCCTTCCTCACAGGGGCGAACGCTCAACTAAAGGCCAAAAGTGAGGCATTGTCAAGGGAGACATTAGGAAGGAGAAAGTTGTTTAGAAAGAAGAGAAAAGATAGATCCCAAATTTAGTCGCCTCTTACGATCATGCATTGGGGGCAGCAGGTACAATTCTTACGCCCTACCTGCAGGGACGTCAGGGTCTCCATGTTGGAAGAAATTAGAGGACCTAGAGAAAAATCATGTAGTTGTGCATGTGCAGTTGACCTTTTTTGTCCTTAAATGACCTCGTGCATCCTTAAATGACCATAGCTGTTAATAGGATGTACAGCACAAACAAGCCAAACCTAACACTAACCTTATATCAGCATTCCTTTCAAGTCGTGGGAATGTTTTTTTACACTTAAATATGTATCTAAAATATAAGTTAACCCCCCCAGGGACCACACAAAACAATGGACACACACACGTACCAGCATGACATGCAAAACTCACAGATCACACCTGGACACACTACACAACATCCTTTTACAAAGGTGAGCAACAATGAACAGGTAAAAACAAACAAAGTCATATGACACCACACAAATAGTACAATCAGACAGCACAGTTAGGCACACATGTAAACACACAGCTAGAGCCTACTCCTATAACATTAGAGGCCGCTGCTCAGCCTTTTTTCCATCGGATCATCTCGCCGTGTAAAACCTCTAACACTGTTGGAGTAAGCTAGAGCCATCAACATCAGTCAACATGTCAGTTATAAGTTTGTCCAGTCAATACGAATGATTTCATTGTCATATATTACAAGTTCATTGGTATATTATACAAGTATATGATTCTATATAACAGGGATTTATTTGTTGGTAACAATGTAAGAGGCGGCAGCCCTAATTACTTACGTAAATTAATTACAGTCACATGACATTGTACTGGTAAGAATAACACTCCATTTTCCACAGGTTTAAGATTTCTACTGAGCTCATTCGGTAGAGCTTAAGACTACATATGTATATATATAGTAAACCAAAAAGGTCCCAGGTTCGACTCCTAGTGGAGGCATTGGAAAAAATATTGACCTCTGTTATAGTGGGGCCAACTTACATAGGGACCTGGGAGGTATTGACAAATATGCTCAGCAATACTTTCACAAGAACTGCTTTGATCCCAGGAAAACTCGAGACGAGATCTTTTCTGAAGGAGGAGTATGTCACCCTGGTCAAATTCTAGCAGCTTCCTGCCGACTTGGCTAGGGTGAATTTCTCTTAACTCATTCAGGAGAGCATTACTAGTAAACCAGAGGTCCAAGGTTCGACTATATGAAAAGGTGACCTCCATACCCCTAGATGCTAAAAATATGCTGGTTGCAGGCTGTTTTCCAGACAACCAGCTTACAATGAAAACACTGGTATTAAAGCTTTATTTGTGTATTTTTCAGGGTGATGCTATAAATCTGTTGTGTGGAGCAGATGCTCAGAGTGATGAGTTAGCCGTAAGTATTGACACATTCTTTGCTCTCATTGACTGGTATTTTCTGTTCTCATTGACACATGATCTCTGTTCTCATTGACATGTACTCTCAGTTCTCATTGACAAGTATTCTCTGTTCTCATTGACATGTATTCTCTGGTCTCATTGACATGAATTATCTGGTCTGATTGACATGTATTATCTGGTCTCATTGACATGTATTCTCTGGTCTCATTGACATGTATTCTCTGGTCTCATTGACATGTATTTTCTTGTCTCATTGACATGTATTCTCTGTTCTCATTGACATGTATTCTCTGGTCTCATTGACATGTATTCTCTATTCTCATTGACATGTATTATCTGGTCTCATTGACATGTATTCTCTGTTCTCATTGACATGTATTATCTGGTCTCATTGACATGTAATTTCTGTTCTCATTGACATGTATTCTCTGGTCTCATTGACTTGTGCTCTCTGTTCTCATTGACATGTATTATCTGGTCTCATTGACATGTATTCTCTGGTCTCATTGACATGTAATATCTGTTCTCATTGACACATATTTTCTGTTCTCATTGACACGTATGCTCTGTTCCCATTGACATGTATTCTCTGGTCTCATTGCCATGTATTATCTGGTCTCATTGACATGTATTCTCTGGTCTCATTGACATGTATTCTCTGGTCTCTGGTCTCATTGACATGTATTCTCTGGTCTCATTGACATGTACTATCTGGTCTCATTGACATGTATACTCTGTTCTCATTGACATGGATTCTCTGGTCTCATTGACATGTATTCTCTGGTCTCATTGACATGAATTTTCAGGTCTCATTGACATGTATTATCTGTTCTCATTGACATGTATTCTCTGTTCTCATTGACATGTATTATCTGTTCTCATTGACATGGATTCTCTGTTCTCATTGACATGTATTCTCTGTTCTCATTGACATGGATTCTCTGGTCTCATTGACATGTATTCTCTATTCTCATTGACATGTATTCTCTGGTTCTGAGTTCTGAGTTCTGATCATTTATCACATAAATGGTGTTCTGTATAGCCTCAGTCAACGAAATATGCTCTTCTGTTCTAGTAGTGTCACTACTTTCAGTACTGTCTGAGTTACGTGGAAAACTTTGAATATTCTACCCTGCTTAGTTTTACCAGTTTACCTTGTAGTTATTTTGTGTGCTTTGTGTCTATTTTCTAGCCATAGAATTTGCAGTGTACATACATATAATTACACATACATATTGAATATATTGTATAAGCGGGGTTATCACTCCATATGTCAATATATATGTCTTCAGTACATTATGGTGTGAAATATGTGATGTTTTGCCCACAGAATTCCAAATTTGCTCCAAATATCAACAAAGGTGGCTGTTTATGGGTGTTACGGACCTATCTCATGAACAACATACTCGTTGTGGGAGGCGTGATGATTGGATCACTAATACCTCAGGTAAGTAATCACCATAGTAACAACAAACATAATTACGAAAGGTGTAATTTTGATTAGGTTCCCTTGTATTGCCAAATGTCTTCATTGTTTGACTGTTTTACGAAGGCTATTCTGTTAAAATTCAATCCCCCAATGACTGTGACATTACATTGGTTTACTTTTATTAATTCCAGCTGTTGCTAGTCCACTTTTCCAGAAGTCTTCGAGACCAGATCTTGGTACAATTAAGCAAATGGCAACGTAACTAAGCAGACCCTTCCGATTTATCTTCACGATATCGGGGATTACCAGCCATCTTTTTACATTTCCTCATGTTTTTTCATCACCATAAATATTTTATTACAAATTTCAAATCCATTCTATTGGTTCTGTGATGAAAAATGTCATTTCTGTCTTAACATTACATGTGTGGTATTTTGATGATTTCAAACATTGATTAAAGATTGCTGTAGGGTAAGGTAAATTTATTTATGTGACACATTGTTGAAAAGCGTTATTCCATATAACATGCTGCTTCCCATTTTGGTTCAACACCTTAGAATGTTTCAAATCATGCTTTACTTTTAGTTCATTGTTTTCCTCTTATAGGGTATACGTATAACAATATAAAGTTTGTCAATATTTCTACCACATAGTTTTGTATCCAATGAAGACATGGGCAGTCTTTAAACTAAGAAACATTACATATCTGAAATTAGGAATTTTTAAAATATCATCACGAAATTAATTGATTACAATTGCACCAATTTGGGTATTGTTAAATTAGGAATTTTTAAAATATAATCACGAAATTAATTGATTACAATTGCACCAATTTGGGTATTGTTTAGCTGCGGAAACCATAGCTTTAAGTCTGATCAATTTTATTTTATTTCAAAATTTTAGATATCTTGTGATTTTACATTTTCGAATCATATGGTTTCAAAATGAAGTAAATTGATTGGACCTAGAGTTTCAGTTCCCGGGGCAGCTTGGTAGTGTTGTTCATCATATGATAATCGCACAAAAATGNAACTTAAAAAAAAAAAAAAAAAAAAAGATATTTATGTTATTTTAGTGTAGTTTTTAACTGTATACACTCTGGATAAGATTTTCTGTTTGATGCCCTTTATTTTATTGAAGTACGTGTATATAATTGAAAATCTCATACATATGTACATGGTGTTGAAAGATGAAATAATGTTATGTTGGGTTATCCATCCATGTTTGTTGCACCTGAACAAGTGCCTTACTTTTTCTGTGTTACATACACATTAAGAAATCCTTCAAAGTGGTGTTTTGTCTTTCTGTGAGTTTAACTCATTTTATATATATATATTTTTTGGCTCTATTTTTGTTGAAATATGAGAATGCAGTCATGGAAAAAAAATGAAAGGATATTTAATATTGAAAATCATTTTCTTTGATATAACTGTACAAGAGATGATGTTAAAGCGATTTTGGGAGAGAAAAAAAACATTTATGCAGATATGTTTTGTGATAATTGCTTAAATTAAAAAAAATATTGACATGAATATATGTTTGTATATACTCAATATATGAGTGTTAACATCATATTTTATTTAAAATGGCTTTCATGCCTATTTTGTGTATTTTAATATCTTCTGAAATACAACTTTTTGTCTATCATTATTTGGATTAAAAACAATCAACATCTGATGCCCAGCATGGACATCAGATAATAGACAGCTGCCTAAAAGTAATGCTGTTGCACCAATTCCATAAAAAAATTGTTTTGAATTTTCAAAGGAATTCATTTTTGCACCATAAGGATACATTGGATAGTTTTTAATCATTTATTGAAATGAGATATGCCATGTAACACTATAAGGCTACATTGGAAAGTTTTTTACCATTTATTGAAACCCAAGACGAAACAAACTCAGTTTGAATGAATGTCCCTTCAATATTATTTGAAGACACATACGTATTATGGAACAATATTTTTATTCCTGTGTTGTGTTCTAACTCTGGCTTTAGAGAGGATGTGCTTAGGGAAACTATTAATATAACTTTTTGTTTTAAGGGTTTATGCTACATTACATATTATGACAATAATGTATGTTAGAGTTACATCCCATTATTTCTTTAAACAAAACACTCAATACCTAAGACAGCCTTAGTGTAATTACTAATGCATCAGTCTTAATTATTTTCAAATCTGTCATGAACTAATCTCTAAAATCCAAATAATCATTCATCAGATATATTTTGTTAGTTTGTACATGTAACTTTTTTGAAGAGTACATACCAAAGTATGGTAGCCTTACAGTTTTTTGATACATTATTTGTATGAAATGTTTATATAACAATGTATGCGATCACGTTATCCGGCAATGACACAAATAGTTAATGACAGAGTCCCGCACTCTTGTATGTTGTGTATTCATCAGGGTTACTAACTCTTACTGCGTGAGAAAAAATGTCACCCTGAGACGTCTTAGTTCATGCTGAAACGTGTCTCAAGCCACGTGAGACGCAATCTCGCACTGAGATGTCTTAGCTCACACTGAAACATGTCTCATGCCACGGGAGACAAAATATCACACTGAGACGTCCTAGTCCTCGCTGAAACGTGTCTCAAGCCATCTTAGACAAAATATCACACTGAGTTGTCCTAGCTCAAGTTGAAACGTGTCTCAAGCCATCTTAGACAAAATCTCACACTGAGACGTCCTAGCTCAAGTTGAAACGTGTCTCAAGCCATGTGACACAAAATTTCACACTGAGATGTCTTAGCTCAAGTTGAAACGTGTCTCGGGCCACGTGAGACAAAATATCACACTGAGACGTCCTAGTCCTCGCTGAAACGTGTCTCAAGCCATCTTAGACAAAATCTCACACTGAGACGTCCTAGCTCAAGTTGAAACGTGACTCAAGCCATGTGACACAAAATTTCACACTAAGATGTCCCAGCCCAAGTTGAAACGTGTCTCAGGCCACGTGAGACAAATTTCACACTGAGACGTCCTAGCTCACGCTGAAACTTGTATCAAGCCACATTAGACAAAATCTCACACTGAGATGTCCTAGTTCACGTTGAAACGTGTCTGAAACCACGTGAGACAAAATCTCACACTGAGACGTCAGAGCTCACGCTGAAACGTATCTCAAGCCATGCGAGACCAAAGCTCACACTGAGACGTCAGAGCTCACGCTTAACCTTGTATCAAGCCATGTTAGACAAAATCTCACACTGATATGTCCTAGCTCACGCTGAAACGTGTCTCAAGCCACGTGAGACAAAAATCTCACACTGAGACGTCCTAGCTCACGCTGAAGCTTGTATCAAGCCACGTTAGACAAAATCTCAAACTGATATGTCCTAGCTCACGCTGAAACGTGTCTCAAGCCGCGTGAGACAAAAATCTCACACTGAGACGTCCTAGCTCACGCTGAAGCTTGTATCAAGCCACGTGAGACAAAATCTCACACTGATATGTCCTAGCTCACGCTGAAACGTGTCTCAAGCCACGTGAGACAAAAATCTCACACCGAGACGTCCTAGCTCACGCTGAAACATGTCTCAAGCTATGTAAGCCATAAATCTCACATATTGGAAAACGTTCTTCCTCATTTGAATTCATTACTTACAATGTACATGAAATCAGGATGTTAATTCCAGAACACACAATTTTAGGTCAAAATTTAATAGAAAGGGTTTAATTTTTCATTGCTTTAGTGAACATTTCGTATAGTTTCAAATATATTGAGTTTTGGGAGTATTATCCAGCAGAAAGGGCATCCCTTTAATTAGAATCATCTCAAAAGTATTTTTTTCTCATCAAATACCTGAAATTTAATCCAATTTTCTTTAATCGTTTACCTGCTTGTTTTATAGACATATATGGCTTTGATGTATATGTGAGCTATTTTAAACTTTCTATCCCTTGTGAATGCTTTTCTCTTTTTATCACCTAATCAATCAAGCCCTGTCTCAACTGCCCTTGCAATCAAGCTATTTTTTGCTTTTTACTGTTGTTTCACCATACATTTATCTGTGTTGCTGGCCTCAGAGATGATGGATAATTTTGTACAGAATTGTTGGAGATATATTTAACTTTATGGGAAAGCAATGAATATTTTGATGTCAATGCTTTTGATAGTCATGTGTCTAAGTTTTTCATATGTTCCACATATTTATAAGGTATGTTATACATTTATAAAGAATTGTCAATGTTTTCTACTATAGATATTATGTGTTTTCTTTGTATATATAGATACATTTTTGTTAATACAGATTACATTAGTAATATTTGTTGGACATAACCAGATTTTTAATATATATATACAAGTTATAGTTCCTACATAAGTTAACTTGGGCATCATCATATTCTTTTTCTTATACAAATAGGTCTGACAAGTTTTGTAACCTCTTAAATTATTACTGTGCTTGTGTGTTTTGTGAATGTACGTTTTTATTCTTTAGTTTATATGCACTAAATTTTGTACTTTAAAATAAGTTTAGTGTAAAATATTATTTAAATACTACATTCATTAGAGTGTTGTCAGTGCCTAGGGTATCACAAGGATATCTGAGCCCCTAGGCACTGTCACACTCTAATGAACGTAGTATTTATTTTGTAATACCGAAAGACAACATAGTGACTGAAGCGTGAGCCGTACGCACATCTTGTTTGCGCGGTCACTGTTTTGCACTGTCACCCTTTGCTAGGGCTCTGGGAAGCACTCTCCCATTGGCTCAATGTTGAAGTGAATGTGACAGTGTGAAATGAACAATTTGTCTCGGCCAATCAGGTTACAGGATTTTCACTAGAAGTGTAATAAAGAATATTACATATAATGTCAATTTATTCATATCAAATGGAAGGAAAATTACATCAGCCGTAATTGAAATCGGTTAAAACACTCTTTCCTTATATGTTATTTATAAGATTTATTGAAAACGTTTGAACAATACAATGTCTTAATAAATTATATTGGCCAAAATGGTCTAATTGCGAAAAACATCGAAATTAATTTGTAATATCTATTGAAAACATATCCTAAAATTTCAAATTACAACAGCAAGATAATTTCAAATTTGTCTCTCAAATTATAAAGTGTTCTGATTTGGGTTTTTTAAATTCACAAAAAATGATAAAATATGTATACACGACACAGGATAATAAATATAATCTCTTACATTTGTTATATGTGATCTGAACATTTTAATTATATCTATTTTACATTGTTATATGTAGGTGACAGTTTTTTATGCTTGTGTACATTTTTGCTGTGCACATACTATATTTAGATTTTAATAGAAGAATACTCGCATCAACTTACTTTTTTGCTGAATTAAACAGCAGCATTCGTTACCTTTTATTGTAATGTAACAATTCTGTTATTGGTGTATTCACAATTCTTGAAAGAAATTGAAATTGCTTAAATTATCAAAACTGTATTTAATCAGGATAAAAACACTATCACAGTTGATACAAGTGCATTTAACATTATATTGAATTAAGTAGTATTAATATTGATTTCACAAGAATAGGAAAATTAAGTTCAATATGTAAATTAATCGAAACAGAGGAAGGATTTAGAAAATAAGGAAATCATTTGATATTTGATACATTCTTATCATTTTAATAACACACACAATGATTTTTTTTGATGTGCAAATTCCTTGTTTTTTTATAGTGTCGTGTACATCACAGGTAACCTATATTAGCTTGGTATATTATATAATTATATCATCGAAATTGACAACGAATTGTTTGATAGTTAACAAGCAGAAGTTTTACGAGTTGTGCAATGAATTGCTGAGCAGAAGGATCAATTTATTTCATATATATATAATATAATTATAGGACGGCGATATTCTAAATTCTTAAGTTTTGTATTCACCGTTATTTATAGACAGTTTGTTAATGTATGTGACACCCCTGAAGACACATTTAAACTCCTCCAGTTCAAAGGTTGGAATAGTTCATTATGAAATTGCAGAGGTGAACTAGTCAGTGTTTTGAACATCTAGTTGATTATTTGTTACTAGCGGTTTTGCTTTGTCAGTCACAACCAGACAATCAACAATAAATTGACTATAAACGATAAAAGGAAAATCAAGATATGGAGTTTTGAAAGTGACTGTTCGTTCAACTTACTAATTAAGGTAAATTAGTAGCATTTCAATTTCAGAAATTTCACCCCCAGCTTTTCGGTTAGACATTTGATAAATAAATCCTTCTTCATGTTGTTGACTTTATCAATTGTCGTGTACCTGAACAAGTTGAGTCCCGTACATAGGTTTCGCTTAGTCTCTATCGTAGTGATATGATCCGTGCTCTGCTTATAAGATTTCCTATCCATTTATATTGATGATCTTAACCACTTACATATTGATGATTTCAGGAAATGATAATCTAATAATGAGGTAATTGCTTATTTAATACTTATGTTTTAGACATCTACATTGGAAATGATATATTTTCATATTAAAGAGGAAGTAAACATGAATCTTTTTTGTTTGTTATTTTCTTATTTGTTCTTCCGTTTGTCTACATGTCGTTCAACAACATCAACACGTAGATTTCATCAGATTTGACGCTATTTTATTAATGGCATTTTGATGTCTTGTCGAGGGATATTTGTTTTCAACTTCATGAAGTCATGAAGGCAATCTACAGAGTGGACATGTGTGTAAATGGATGCAGGAGGGGAAATATAAACCGAATTAAATCGAATAGAAAAAAAGTAATGCAAAAAGAACCCTAAACGATTTTCATGGGGTTCAACTTTCCTAACAATTAACAAATTGCATAGTATTAACAAATACCATAGTATGTTCACATCTCCACTGGTTACACATGTAGTCTGAATTATATATTTCTGATCATCTCGAAATTTCTTTGTTTTTTTTTATTGCTGATGAGAATGTTTAACGATATTATCAAGTTCACGATGTACACACTATTTAATTTTTCATCGTGTGAAAAGGAATTGGTCTATAAAATGATGCTCCTTACTGGTGTAGCCGCTTTCAAAAAATGACATACTGAAATCCACTGTCGAAAGCAATACCCTTAACAATCCATCACATACAAAGTCCAATGTGACTCACGATTATTCTTGATCCAATTAATGAAGGCCATGTTAGCGATTTTGTTTACCTGTTTTTAAACTGTCTTGTGTTCAGCTGATTATTTTTAATTCTTTGTTACGGTAATTTCATATTTGAATACCAAGCTTTCTAAATATGCTAAAATTAGGTTTACGCTAAAATATCAAATATTAATAAACTTATCAGGTGTTGAATAATTTGGCCATAGACTATTAAAAGATAAAAGTAAGCAATATACAACAAACTCGGCACACTATATAAGTGTTTACAGATAACGCCTGATATATGACAACATATTCAATACAGTACATATTTACTGGTACATAGTTTAAAAATGACATGATGAAGGTCTTGTTTTTAAGTGATGTTAAGGTGTCCAACATGTTCAAGTTTGCATGATTGAAACATAAATCAATTTTTTTAAATATCACCTTCAGTTTAAATAATCACATCGAAACCAATTCTACACGCGAGAATTTCCAGATTTACAGCACATCGATCAGTTCTGGAGTCGTAAAGCAGTTGTGACATGTAAACTCATAAACGGCGGAGACTGGTATATTATTACATGAATGCAGCGTTTTAGGTCGTGAAATTAAAGTCCGCTCGTTCACCAGTAAGGTGACCGGTATATCAATGTTCTGTTTCAAAGTATCAAACTAACTAGTTTTCATATGTTCATTAACCGAAATGCATTTGATGATCTTTAGAAAAAAACATGAGCATGTGGATAAGATCCAAAGTCAAAACATGTTGTACAGTGGGACGACCTTTCATATCTTGACCCAATTATTAGTATGAGATATATGTTTATTTAACTGAAGCAAGAATATACATACGTGACAATTACCTTTTCTTTGGTATCATTACATAATTCGAGTCTTTTTCTGTTCATTGTACATGAATTTCAAAATCTTTTGGATTTTGCTGAAAATGTTCGTTTACCACTAGTTAATTAGAACCATAGACAGGTAATGTCCTTGTTTGCCCTTCAAAGGAGACGTACTCGTAGGTAGGCATAACAACAGTCCAACAGAATACAATGGTACGTTTAACAAACGTAGAGGAACGCTAGAGTGTCCGCCATGTTCCAATCACGTTGGGTAAGTTTCTCTGCTTTTCGAACATTACACGAGGATTACAACTACCCGTGTTCCAATTGAAATACAAGTTTACAAGTTTATTATTACTTTAAGCCGTCCGACTTATCAGTTACAACCTATATACAGTACAATACAATTTACATCCATGCAAACATAACATGTCTAGGTATTATATTTGTACATTATATAGTGGAGAGTGAACAGTAACCCCTAATTACAGAAGTTGAGACCTTTTCTTATTCGCATGCACTAGATATTTACCCAATTTCTAATTTCTGATAAACTATTACTGTTTAGCAGTTGGACAAATTTAAACATGCTAGAACGGTTTACATAATATGGTTTGATGAATTTAGCTCTTATGTCAGCATAATAAGGACATTTCAAAATGTAATTAAATTCATCTTCTACCTCATTCATATTACATAATGTACACAATCTGTTTCTTTTTAGGATACTGTTATCCCTGCCACATTCAATATTTAATTTGTGTGCTGATAGTCTTATTTTACAATGATGTTTTACATAATTAATATTGATAGATTTCGACAAATAAAACTGTAGTCCAAAATTACAAATGTATTGGTAAAGTGCACCTTGTGCAGAGGATGTTATTTTTTCAAAACATTCTTGTTTGAATATATCAGAAATGTGTTCCTTAACTATATAAAAATATATCATTTTTTAGACTCGGGGCTTCCCACACAATACCAAGACCAGTTCTGTATAATTCTTGCCTCCCCTTACTTAGCCATATATCGTTGTTAAATCGCATCTCAGAGTAGCATGATTTAAGAATACAGTTTTCAGAATTTCTCAATTTTATCCAATAGTTGAAAAGACGAAATTTACTAACTATATTCACAGGATACCTTCCTAGTTCATAATATACCATATACTTAATTGCCTTACTATGTAACCCCAATACACGTTTGCGAAAAGTAACGTGTAACTTTTCTATATCTGGTGCTGCATGGAAGCCCCACACTTCCGCCCCGTAACTGATCAGTACGCTATTTACATACGTGTCAAACACAGCTAACTGCGTTTCTATATTAAAATAATTGTTTTTACAAACGTTAACAATTGCAAACATTGCATTTCTCCCTTGGTTAGCAATTTGTTTTTAAGTAACTCTGAATATCCCGTTAAAATTAAGTAGCACTTTATACCACCAATTTCTTTCTCTTTCAACTTACCCCTATTTCGGAATACAACAATACTAGCTTGGAGACTCATGAAAAAATAATGATATTGCACAGATGCGACTCTCTTAGCCAGTTTGTACGGGTTACGATGCTCCGGTCGCTCGGAATTTTCTGAGAGTCGAATTTGACAACAAGGCGATATGCCATTTATATCAGTTATCCCACATTGAAACTCTGTCGAAGATAACATACCACCGTACTTCAAATACAAAGGTATCCCACTCGTGTATTCTACGGAGCTAATTACATTACAACAGTGGATGGATGACTCATATGAGTCTATATGCCCCGAGTCTATAAAACATATGAAACACATCCAATTCCATTTTCTGCACTTTGTTCGATATATAACATCAAATTGGTGAGTCAGTCCTCAATAGCCACGGAGAATGGATACAATACACATACTATATGTCTTTATAATCGTTCTTGAGTTTTCAGCAACACCTCTCCACTAGCCAAGGCGCAAAAGATTCAATACCCTTTCACTTTATTGGATCGTGATTCTTACTGATGCAATGAAGGGACTGATCGTTCTTTGGGAACCACAGCAATACATTTAAACATTTATATACGTTAATCGTTTTGGGCTTTTAACATAACATCACTATCAATCTTATTAATTAATTTGCTTAAATTATAAAAGAATTGTAACCATTGTTAAAACGAAGAAATCTTTTATACATGAATCGATATGCCCCAAATACAATAACAAGGTACATGTACATAGTATGACCGGGGGAGGGACGAGTTGGGTCGTTTTTGTCCCGGAGAGAAATGCTATTTGACGCTGGGGTCAATGTGGTCAGTTATGATGTCGCACGGCCCAGCTTACCCGTGGACTCTCCTCCCGGCCTGTGGCCTTTAGGGTTAGATGTTTGACGTTACGGAAGAAGGTCGATATGTCAAGGAGGACAATTGATCCTAATGCTGTCACCAAGATGGCGGCCCCCACATATCCGATCCCCCTGGCACTGGGCCGGTTGTCGGCGACGCTGATATACTTCCGTCTATTGGCTGCAAGAGAAACCATGGTTTGTTCCATTGATGAACAAGTAATGTGTTTTTTTCTGTGGCTGAGACGATATCTGTGATATATTCATATTTTAATATCATATTACCGTAAACGAAATTTATTTCTGTGGTATAGTTATTTCCTTATTTTGGCCTCTTGGATTGGTTTGGTAACATATATTTAAATTCTTGATTCGTTATTACATGTACCGTATATATATATACTGCGTCATTTTACTTGTATTTTTATATGTACGTATTTTCTTTTTCATACAGAAAAAACGAGTAAACCTCGTATAATTCCTTACGACTGCAAATGGCCCTTAAAGTTATAATAATGTATTGATGAATGTATTTATTGTACTCTGTATATTTAGTTAGTCATCTCCGTATCCACATGTGTATAAATATCAGTTAACTTTTGTAAGTTATATAGAACTACAATCGTATATGTAACATCTTCTAAGATAACTTCTTGTAAATTCACATATTGTGCTACATGTATGTGTGGGTGATGAGTGAAGTGTGTGTATGTCTGATGTAATTATTATACAATGGCAGGGTAAATAACTTATATTGATGGAATCGGTACTACGCACAATAAATCGGAAGAACTCTCTCAGTGTGTTTGTTGATGTGTATATAATCTTCAAAATCCACCACTGCTGCATTTCAATGACAAGCGGTTAAATGTGAGGCTAGTACGTGTAACAGCAATGACTTTTGAGTTTGCCTCTAAAATGCTTTGATCTTATTTTTTGTATTGCCTATTGATTAACGTATTGTACTATGATATGTAAAAAAAGAAAACACAAAACTCGCTACTTAATTCATGTTAAACATGTACATTGGAAATTCTTTGTTTCTATATTGTAAGTACGATACACAAATTCACGTGTACATGCTATTTATAGCCCATACCTGACGTATTTTTCTTAGAAATGGACAGCGTGTCGATAAGTTCCTGTAGCTTCTGTTTCACGAGTGGGTCGTCCAGGGTTAGGTAGGGACTACAGGTACAGTAACAAGTGGTATTTGGCTCGGTCGTACCTGTGACACCAAATAATGTGTCTAAGTCACAACCCTACAAATTGTGTTTTAGAGGAGTTTTAAAAACGGAGACTGCTATATACACCAAACTTGTCGTTATAGACTCATTTGTGCAATTTCGTGGGAACAAATAACATCACATTCATGATTTAAACCTTGACATACATCGTTGCTGCAACGGTTTTAGTTTAAATAGTAAAAACGAAAATTGACAATATAATCAATGATGAATTCAACCAATGAATTTCAGTAGCGGAATAACATGCATTGCCAATTAGCACACTCAAACCCACTCTACAGTACAACGATGTCAGGGCCACAGGATACGGGAGTTACATAGAGAATAATACATGCCTTTTTCCATATCACACCCAGTATCAACCCGAGACTGCAATATCAGCCCAAGGGCCGAAGGCCCGCGGGCTAATATTGGTCGAGGGTTGATACTGGGTGTGATATGGAAAAAGGCGTGTTTTATTCTGTTTATTACATACTTACTAATAAAAACTACTATCTTATGATGTATTTTAATTTTTGAAATATTGGAAAACTATTTTTTTTCCAAATTGGGTGTGATATGGGTTTTGCGGGCTGATATGGGTTTTGGGGTGTGATACGGCGGGGGCTGATACGGGTTTTGGGGTGTGATACGGCGAGGGCTGATATGGGTTAGAGCAATTGTGTCGTATCGCATATACAAAAAACCCGTATTTATTAGTAAGTATGTAATAAATGGCAATTTCAACCTGGTGAAAAGGTAATCAGAGTCAATATATATTACTCACTACATGCTGAACACGTGACAGCCGATTCGGTGGTGTCCGACGTTGATTGGCTGTATAAGGATGACGCAGTTGTCGTCGCTGTTACTGATGACGTCACTTCGCTTGTGTCCCTGTGCGACTCTGTAGTTGTTGATGTTTGGACATCTTCCGTCGTCGTAGAGGTGAACAAAGCTGCTGTCGTTTCGTCATTAATTGTTGTGTCAGTTTGTCTCTCGGTAGATGTAGTTTCTGAGTCAAGGACTGTAAAAATATAACCAATGGTACGGTGAAAACAGTTCTTTCTGAAAATGGCAATAGGACATAACGTTATAATAATATAACATTTATTCAGGTAAAAGGCAAATAATACACTTCTATCACATTTTGCAGATTGGACATAAATATATATATATTATTACAGAAAGAGATCTTCTTTAATAAATTATTTATGCCATAAGATTAGAAGTCAGTCAGGTGTTAAAACCGGATGGGATTAGATTAATTTAGACCTTTACCTGGGGTGACCCATACAGCCACATTGTGGCTTAATTCCAATGGGGTCCCTTAGATCTAACTAAATCAATTCAATTCTAAAAAAAGTTACATAATTAAATAGTGTATATTGATAATTTGATAAGACTCTTAAGACACTTCTTTTATGAAAAATTGATATAAAATGTTACATGTGCCATAGGCTATAATCAATAAAATAATGCTGGTAATGGAATGATATAAAACATGAAGAGAGTAACAACATATTGGAATTTTAACAATCAAAGATATATAGTATTAACTTATATTAACAATGTCAAGGGAGATAACTCGTGTAATGTTGGTTTTTGTTTTTGCTTCTGTTTTTTACAATTTGCGAATGAATATTCGCAATTGTTTCACATTTGTGATGAAACATATTTCAGAAAGCGGTAAATCCCTTCCTCTCCTGCCTTATCCTACTTATTACACACATTTTACAGTTTTCGGGTGTTTTTTTCTTAATTTGGACTTATTATCAGGGGTATTAGCTTTTAACAGTATCGTGTAATTCTAGTATTGCACATTCAAAAGTCATACTAAATTCATGACGAGGACTCACGGAGTGAACACAGTCCGGGGGCTGTCTCGGTACATGACCTGTCCTGCCACAGGTAGGCCGGGGTTTCCATGGGGAACATCCGGGCACAGTCCTGCGCTGGCATGTTGTTGTCGTTCGGGTCCCCGGATTTCCAGTTGGTGTATGTTTGTATCTGTCCGTCGTACGTCAGAAACACTCCTTCAGTCTGTGCGTCCGTAACACCAATCCAGTACCCAACGTACTTCTCCGAACTTAAAAATGAAATGTTAGAATGCACATTTTAGTATTTAATGATATTATGATCGAGTTTATACTAAACACCTGAACCATGTAAACGATATGTAATGGTTTCCCAATGATGATCGTATTTACAACTGGGAGTATTATTCCGACAATATGAAAACTTTATTTTTTTTATATTTTATTTGACAAAACAGAACCAGTTTGAATTTGTTGCTTGGGAACTGTTGTATCGAGACATTTGATTGGACGGCACACTCGCATGTTGTCATTTTAGTGTTACATCAGAACTGATGAATTGGTTCTTAAAAATTGGGACTTTAAATAAAACATACCGAAATGTCTCTGTGAAATAATGTTTTTCAGTGACCACTTCTTCTTGGAGATTTAAGTTAAGAGATACACATAATCTGAATGGAAGTGCCGAGTTTCCCCTTATTTACCCAGTGTAACGCGATCGGGTACTACTATTCTGTTGTCTTCCTTTCTAATATATAATGGTGGACATTTCCTTTTATTTGAATAGATGAAACTTTCAAAAGATGCCTTAATACGCTGCATTATTTGTCATTTAAACAAACAATTTTATAATTCCTTTACAAGAAAACTACAACGCTTTTGCTATACGATCGTCTGATAAATACTATGAGGTACCCCGACTCCAGTTCCGAATCATACTGTGTTTGTATGAACTGTTGGCTCGCCAGGTCCGGAATAATGGCCAGTACCCCTCCGTCCTTTTTACATTCCTCCATGCTGAGTGTTGCGGTCAGGAGACTTGACACACGCCAGTAACATGTGTCTGTCACTTGGTTGTAGACACCTGGTGACGGACACAATGACGAACACGATGATGATGAAGGTGACGACACTGGAAAGAAACGATCAAGTCACATTTTGTTAAGCAGTTTACATACAGGATCGGAAACACATTTTCGATTTGCATACGCTTTTTGTAAGTTTATAGAGGTTAATGATCGTTTGATGAAGCGGGGATCAAGATTAGATTCTATTTTGTCGTTTGATTTACATATATTCATTAAGTCACAAGAACACTTTAAAAGAAATGCCATTTACATAATATGACTTCAAACAAGAATTTTTAACGCGGTGTTGTTGTTGGACGTGACGTCACAGAGGGTGTTATTACATATAGTATTATGTTGTATATTGAAAATATAGGTGTTATATATCAGGTGTTGACATACACCAAATACATGTATATGTTATTTATAATGTCTCCTGTCAATTAAAGCAAAATACTTCATCGATGGTTTTTAAACGTACTTCAACTCTTAAACATGACACTAAAATCTACATAGTATCAGGTGTAATTTTGTGGGTGTAAACTGAAGTCGCTCCAGTAGATAACCCTGACAACATTACATATTACATTTGTAGTTAACAGGCTTATAAAGTTAAATTGGAAAATTTAAGACAGCGAAAGGATAAAACATTGCCTTGAGCCTTTTTTCTGCAACGTGTGTTTAAATGTGAAGAAACATACCTAGGATAATGACGAAAACGCCCACAGACATCAAGCTGGCTCCAGGCTGAAAAGATATAATATACGACATATTTGACTAATGTGTTAGTCAATTTTCAATTCAACTTTATTCTCTTTCACAATACAATGTATATAGAGAAACATATTTACAATATAATATATAGTAATTGTAGTGTTCGTAGTCGGTAGTACACAGTACTGTTTTATAATATATACACATTTATATCGAGGAGGTCAAATACTGTTATTAATTATTCTGATAAAAGTACAAAGTTTCTTCAGTGTTTTTATATTAGTAGTATTCATCAATTCATTAAACTTAATTACATTTGGTCTCGTCCAAAAATATTTGTCTATGTATAAAATTCGAAACCCAGATAGTGACGGACACTCAAGCACGTAATGGAATTCGTCACCAATTTGCTGACTGTTACAGTGTGGACATTTTCTTTCATTATACTCTATATTATGCCATCTGCCGGTTTCAACAATGAATTTGTGATTAGTAGTCTTAAATTTACAAAATGTAACTCTATCCTTATCACTTAAAATATCTAAGTAATTTTCAAAATGACAATTATTTTTAAAAATCCTATAACATGTAGCTTTTGATGAAGTGTGAACATCACTCTGCCATTTCTGTAAAAACTGGTCGTACAATCTTTGTTTAATAACAGTCAGCATTACTATATACTGAACAAGATATAAATCGTTACTGATTCGCACATCAACTGGAAAGTGTATCACATACTACTCTTAAAGCAATATCCACACGCATATCTGGTGTTCAGTTCATGTAAATAGCATTATAGTTTTATATTTACATTCTGTATGCTTAGACCCATTGACAAAAATTACATTCATAAATGCATAACACAGGTGTTCATAGAATCTCAGCACGTGGGAACTGATAGTAACCTGATCACACTGCGTAGTAATACACTACAAAAACTACTCACTCGGAACGACCGACCTAGATGCTTAATTCTTACATCTTAAAATATTATTGAACTGTGCTTTGTGAAATATCCACGTATTCACGTGTCCTGTGCTACAAATAAACATTGAATATGGAACTACATTTTGTTGTGTTATTGTTGTTGACGGTTGCTAAGATCTCTCACGATAGTGTCACATTTCCCCGCGAAAAAACACTGTTCTCGCCACTGCGTTGCACCCGTGTATAAGCAGGAACAAACCCTGTTTATTTGTTTTATTCGTTGTTATATCGATCCACTGAAAGGATTCGTCAATGTAAATATAAGGAATGATATTTATTTTTTCAACATTTATGAGGTCATAACAACAATGGGTTTTTGGACATATTTTAAATGAATCGCTAACGCGATTCATTCAATATGTCCATAAACCCATTGTTGTTATGACCTCATAAATGTTGAAAAAATAAAAATCATTCCTTAATTAAAGTTATACCATTAGATTGTATAACGTCGGTACTACGTTTGTATTTCTGACGATTGGCAGACAGGAACTTGTGCTTCCACTGCGCATGTGTAACAGTCGTCTTACAACTAAATCTATCGGTCACCTTAATAGATTCGTCGCCGAAACAATAATAACTGCGTTTAAAATCTCGCGTCAGCAGGTTCACATCCGCCGTTAAAATATTTCTATCGGTGATTGATTATTTACTCGTTTGCAGAGTCGGTCTAAATGGGCGTATAAATGGGTATTACTCAATAAAACTTCATAAATGCTTCGGCAAATCGTTTCTCTCCACATCAGTCTGAACATAACGGAGGAAGCATGCTGTTTACGAGGCCTGGAAAAACAGGAAAATTGACAGACATTATACTCTGGTCCCGTCCGGGATTGTCAATATTTACCGGTACGAGATCTATACGGCAAGGCAGAAGTTAATGGGATACAATCAATTCATGTTTAACGAGATTTACCAATGCTGTACGCCGGACCTTTGCATTAGTAATTATAATGCACAAATACCATGTGGTTATCAGATATCTTCTCCGAGAATATAAAATCAAATCAAATCTTAAATAAGAATATAAAGTGATGTCTTAAACTAAGGACCTATATACTATCTTCACTATAATGCTTTCCCCACAATGTCATTTCGTCTGTTTTTTGCAAAGATCTACAACCAAAAGATGGAACTGTCAGATAAATATTAACTACTAATTATGTATCACAAAGATTTTTTTTAAGAATAATTAAACACTTTGACCAATACACTTCTAAGCCAAGATTTTGAATTTCAGTTGACGACTCTCAACTGTGATATTTGGTACCTAACATATAAATTAACTGCATGCTGTAACCATATACCTAGATATATCACTCATGACTGCAGCAACTGTATGACATCGTTTTTTGATGACCTCGTGCGGGCTAAAAGTAACCTTCCAGACCATGTAGCATTTTCCATTTTAAGTTCTATTATTAGTTTATTAAATTAACCATATTTTAATATTCACCATACCGATGTGCCAAATCCTGATAGATTTAAGTAAATAGCACCTTTAATGACAAAACAACTAAAAAATGTAAGTTTTATTTCATTTATCATAATACATCTATGCATAAGTAACCGCCGAAATGCTCGTTTATTGTGAATAGTCTTATAGTCTTATTAAACATATATTTTGAGCTGAACTCTATCCGAATATCGCTTATCTGGTAAACTTAAATCCAGTTCCCGTTCTTTTTGGCTGTATCTCACTGTCTTCAAACACAAGACCAAGTTATAACTCACCAACAATAGACAAGACCAAGATATAACTCACCAACAACAGACAAGACCAAGTTATAACTTACCAACAACAGACAAGACCAAGTTATAACTCACAAACAGAAGACAAGACCAAGTTATAACTCACAAACAGAAGACAAGACCAAGTTATAACTCACCAACCGCAAACAATGACACTACTATATTGTATCACAGTGCACACAAAAACACAAAACACACGACAGCTTCAGAGGGGAAGCATTAATAATCTCTATAACCTCAAACAGACAGGGCTTAACTCTGTCGTTGTGTCCAGTCTTAAAAAAACTAATTTATTATATTTTTAACAACAAAGGGCAGACAAACACCGCGTCTACAAACAAGTGGAACTATATCATAGTGTCAACACACAGGGACAAAATATATCACAGTGTTAGCACACACGGACAAAATATATCAGTCAACACACAGAGACAAAATATATCGCAGTGTTAGCACACACGGACAAAATATATCACATTGTTAGCACACACGGACAAAATATATCATAGTGATAGCACACACGGACAAAATATATCACAGTGTTAGCACACACGGACAAAATATATCAGTGTTAGCACACACGGACAAAATATGTCACAGTGCTAGCACACACGGACAAAATACATCACAGTTATAGCACACATGCACAAAATATATCACAGTGTTAGCACACACGGACAAAATATCACAGTTATAGCACAAACGGACAAAATATATCACAGTGTTAGCACAAACGGACAAAATATATCACATGGTTAGCACACACGGGCAAAATACATCACAGTGTTAGCACACACGAACAAAATATCACAGTTATAGAACGCACGGACAAAATATATCACAGTGTTAGCACACACGGACTAAATATATCACAGTGTTAGCACACACGGACAAAACATATCACAGTTATAGAACGCACGGACAAAATATATCACATTTATAGCACACACGGACAAAACATATCACAGTGTTAGCACACACGGACAAAATATATCACAGTGTTAGCACACACGGACAAAATATGTCACAGTTATAGCACACACGGACAAAATATGTCACAGTTATAGCACACACGGACAAAGTTTGTCACAGTGTTAGCACACACGAACAAAATACATCACAGTGTAAGCACACACGGACAAAATATGTCACAGTTATAGCACACACGGACAAAGTATATCACAGTGTTAGCACACACGGACAAAATATGTCACAGTGTTAGCACACACGGACAAAATACATCACAGTGATAGCACACACGGACAAAATATATCAGTGTTAGCACACACGGACAAAATACATCACAGTTTTAGCACACACGGACAAAATATATCACAGTGTTAGCACACACGGACAAAATATATCACAGTGTTAGCACACACGGACAAAATATGTCACAGTTATAGCACACACGGACAAAGTATTTCACAGTGTTAACACACATGGACAAAATATATCACAGTGTTAGCACACAAGGACAAAATATGTCACAGTTATAGCACACACGGACAAAATATATCACAGTTATAGCACACACGGACAAAACATATCACAGTGTTAGCACACACGGACAAAATATATCACAGTGTAAGCACACACGGACAAAATATGTCACAGTTATAGCACACACGAACAAAGTATGTCACAGTTATAGCACACACGAACAAAATACATCACAGTGTTAGCACACACGGACAAAATATGTCACAATTATAGCACACACGGACAAAGTATATCACAGTGTTAGCACACACGGACAAAATATGTCACAGTGTTAGCACACACGGACAAAATATATCATAGTGATAGCACACACGGACAAAATACATCACAGTGATAGCACACACGGACAAAATATGTCACAATTATAGCACACACACACACGGACAAAATATATCAGTGTTATCACACACGGACAAAATACATCACAGAGATAGCACACACGGACAAAATATATCATAGTGATAGCACACACGGACAAAATACATCGCAGTGATAGCACACACGGACAAAATACACACGGACAAAATATGTCACAGTGTGAGCACACACGGACAAAATACATCACAATGTTAGCACACACGGACAAAATATGTCACAATTATAGCACACACACACACGGACAAAATATATCAGTGTTAGCACACACGGACAAAGTATATCATAGTGGNACAAAATACATCACAGTGATAGCACACACGGACAAAATACATCACAGTGTTAGCACACACGGACAAAATACATCACAGTGTTAGCACACACGGACAAAATATGTCACAGTTATAGCACACACG